AAGTTGAAAAAAAAATATTCTGTTGAAAAAAAAAATGAAACTTGTAAAAGTTAACCAGTGTGGTTTTAGTTTACGTTTTTTCCTCAAATTTTATAAAACTGGACAACACTTTATAAACAAAAAATTATCAAAAAGTTTTTATTTGACAGTTTTAAAATTTTTGTAAAGTTATAAAACTGAAAACGGTGGAATGGTTTATAAACAATCATTTCACTTTTTTCTTGTAAAAAAGTTCAAAAAGAATCGAATCGCAAACGAACTTTTTATAGGAGCTAAATAATTAAAAAGTCAAGAAACCAACTCCAACTTTCCAATAGAAGCCTTAGGCCCGTTTGGAAACAAATTTTTCAGTAAATATCGAGGTCTAAAGATTAGTATGTTGATGTAATGATTTTTTGATTTTTAATGAAAAAATTCGTTCAATAAAATAGAGAGAAAAATGATTTTTGACCTATTTCAGGTATAAGTTGTTGACTTTTAAACTGTGAAAATAATAAATTGCAAAAATTGAAACCCTAGTTATAAAGAGCTATGGTGCACGTTCCTTTGAAGTGTGCACATAAGTGTTTCATAAATATTAACAATTGAACAAATTTACATTACTTTTTTAAAATTTTTAAATCATATAACACGTTTGGCTTTTTTTTTATTAAAGAAATTTGTTAGTAATATGAACTAAAAAAATTAATATGGTATCATTTCTCATAATTGAAGATATATATGACGTATTGTGTAGTGGGGGCGTTTTGGGAAGATTAGCTTTTTAACTTTTTTGCAATTTTCTTATTTTTTAGATTAAACATTGCATCTCTACTTTTTTACACAAAAAAATTTTTTAAAAAGTTTAAAAATCAAAAAGAGTCGATTTTATTAGTCATTTTTCTAACACCCACTATTATTATATCTTACTATAGTCTACTGTTTTGTCTCTTTATTTTATTAAAATATAGATTAATATAATTATATTAAAATTAGGTAAATTTATTTATTATCAAAACTTATCTAATATATATATATGTAAACAAAATGAGATTTCTTAATCCCGCTTGTGGGAGTTCAATCGTGCGCCAATTAAATTTTACTGATTGTTTTTATTTTAAAAATTTTTAGTTTGAGCATTTGATCTAACTTCTCGAACCCCCAGTCCTTACTTCTCAGCAAGTAATCACTTTAATGCATTAAAAACAAGCATAAAAAAATTCTTTTTGAAATCCAACACATATGATTATCATGCAAATAATAATCTTTAAGCTTATATAACTAAAAAAAAAAAAAAAAAGAAAGGGGGGGGGGGCGGGGGAACCATGTGTTTAATTCCTTGAAAAGTTCATCAGATAATTGGCATTACTATCAAAATATTAAACTTTTAATATAATTCAAAAGAAAAAAGGAAGACATTTAAAAAAAAAGACATTTAAAAATCGCAATGTACATAGATAGTTAAATTGTAAATATATTTGAAGGAAAAAGAGGTTTTTAAATCCCAAGCCTTTGTGGAGCTCCAATCTTCGTCAAATCTTATTTTCTAATCTTGTTTTATTTAAAAAAAAATCACATGTTATTGATTTGGTCAAAATCATGATCATAATTTATTAACTTTTTCCAATGCACATGCGGTACATTTACTTGATTTGTTGGTCCAAAATCCTTTGATTAGCAATGAAGATTCCCTCATCACAGAATTAATTATAGATACAACTCGATGCATAGTTACTACTGACAGTAGTCTTTTTAATTCTCTTGTCTACACTATGGTTAGTGATTTAAAATTTTTAAATTATTTTACAAAAATTCATTAAAACATAATTTTATATATAAAAAATTAAAACAAATATACAATTTCTGTATTAATATAATCCCGTGCATGAGCACGGTGAATAGGTATCTATACGTTATATATATAAGCAAAAGGGGGTTTTTTTAACCCCAAGGCATCTATGGGAGTTTCATGATCTCAATCTGAATTTTCTATATTTTTTTATTTTCTATTTTTAAAAAAAACTTCAGCATGTATTGATTTAGTCAAAATTCTCTGAATCAAACATTCTCATTAATTTTTTTTAATCCACATGTGTTCTCCATATGCTGCATTTATTTAATCGTGGCGTCAGAAATTCTCAATGATTGCAGGATTTTGCAAATCTCTTAGTACAAAATATCGTATGATGACAAATCCGTGCTATATTGTTACATGCAGTACCCTTTCAACTTCTCTCATACACTATGTCTAGTTGAATAGATGTTAAATTATTTTTAATAAAAATCTTTAAAGAAACAAATTTTCTATATTAAAAAAAACTAAAGTAATATGAAAATATGTATTAAATTATTCCGTGCTACACGGATGAGTAAGTAGGTATTATGTTAGGTGAACAGTGTTGTACGTTTAGCGCTTTAGGAGGTTGAAATATTTTAGGGTGAGGGAATTTTTTTTTTCCTTTTTTGGTTAAACTGATTAACTTTTACTGAGATTGAAAAAATATATTAAGGGTGATGTAGGAGTGTTCTAAATGAAATGTTATATTTTTATTTTTATTTAAAAAAAATGTGTAAAAAAAGTAAAGAAGAGATGTAGAATGTAGAGATAAAGATATTGATGAGAGTGTTATTTACTATGACTTGAATAAAGATTTTTTTTAATTTACTCAACACCTTACTGATTACATATTATAGAATTTGGATAAAAATTACGAAGAAAATAATTTTCAATTGGGTATAGTCTTGAAAAAGTAATTCTTTATATATCCCCTTGTTAATCATGTTTAATTTTCAAATTGTGACCTGTGGTTAGTGTCCCTGTTTGTACTTTTTTTAGAAGGGGGAAAAATAGATAATCAGTAATAAATTATCACAAATGAGGAAATTCTATCTTCTACGCAACGTTGAATTTTAAAAAAGAATATTATATTATAAGATCGATAAAGTTGATAGTAATTACATTGACAGTCTTTTTGGTAAAACTAAAACAACCAGAGAGTAATGTGGTAAAGATATTAATAATTGAGTGGTAGCTACATACAACTATAGCTGGGTACCAACTGAGTGTAATGACATTATTGTGTGAACGCTAATATGTAGTACTAAAATTAGGTAAAACATACTCAGAACTCTATAAGAATGGATTGTTCACATCATCTGGGTTAGTACATTAGTTAATGGTCAATTGATAACATATAGAATTATGTCTAATATAGAATACAGATGATTAAATAAAAGTAAAATTATTTTTCGAATATTAAGAGATGTAATTCATCTCATTTATTATATAAGTGAGAGAAAGGATATGATGTTTACAATGGTAAACGACTGATTAAGAGAGAATTAGAAATTATGAAGTAAAAATTACGTTGAGTTGTTAAGATTAAAGTGTAAAGGGTAAAGCCTCATCGATAAGGAAGATTTTTCTATTTATTAAAGTGCATGTAGCAGGCAACCAAGACACGTAGAGTAATGATCTCTAGAGTTAGTCCGGTCGCAGTATGTTCTGGGAAGGCCGGTTTTTAAATTAGTCCGGTCGTGACATACTCTGGTTAGGTCAGTCAGAACTTGCTACTTGGAAGTTTGATCTAAACGCACCAAGGTTGAACAAGGGCAGCCGAAGTAATGAGTTAGTAGAGAAGACCGAGCTAAGGATAGTTCGGCCTTCTATATGGCTCAGCATAGCCAGTGTTATTTCGGTCATGTTGTAGTTCGGCCATGAAGAAAACCATCCCACTTGGTTTAAGCAGTGGGGGAGGGTGTAAAAGGATAAGCATTATCTTTTGGAGAATGAATCCTAGGAGGACTCTGCATGAAGAAGTACAAGTCCTACTAGGATTGTGCCACGGGAAACTTATAAAAGCCTACAAACATCACCTTGGAGGAGGTAATTGTACACATTCTTTCTGAGAACCTAGAGCTTTGTCTATTTGTCAAGTTTTCTGACTTAGGCATCGGAGAGGTTTCCGGCACACACCCGCCGGCTAGCTCACGTTTGTGTTTTCAGGTGACAAAGCGACGTCGTACGGAGAAGCGTGGATTTGGTCAACAGGATTATACGAGGAGAATTATTTCCTCCCCGTACAATTACTTTGGTAACCTCTTGGTCATAAATGGAGGATAAATAGAATTCATGAACTTGGTTAATGGTCATTATTTTGATGTAACCATTTTCTTGTTTAATGGTCATTATTTTTGGTGTAACTGTAAGGTCCTTATAGCCTATATATAGTCTACTCTTTTCTATTTATATAGAACAACTATTTTCTATACAAAAGAGATTACTAGCAAAGAAGGGTGTTTTATTGGTGGAGCTTTGGGTTCACCATCTTGTGCAGAGTTGGCCTGAACCATACGACAAGTGTTCGGGCTGTTGTATCCTGGAGGGGACAAGTCATAGTGTTGTGACTGCTGCATTGGTATTTGGATTCTTCCTACCGCAGTGGGCTTGATCTCCTTAAAGAAAACGAGATATCCGTGCCTCGGCCTAATCTATTTGTATCTCATTTTCTTTGCATCATTTATCAATAATATAGTTTAGTTTCTGGTAATTTCTCCAACAATTTTAAGGAACAAGTTGATCTTGACCCAACAGTTTGAATGTTCCAGAAGTCGTATCCCAAACAATCTCCGGTTGTGAAGGACTTCTATATCGATAAGATTTCATATCCTAATAAGTTTTGCAAAATATAAAATACTAATGCAGTGTTTGATAAGAATTTGATAACTGTCATATACGTGATAATCCATAACTATGCCACACAGCAATGCCTGGACCCACATAACTCTTGTAGTTATTTTTATTCCCTCTCAATTCAACTTTTAGTTAAATATTAATGGTGAATTTTGACAAATATAAATATAATAAAGTATTTAAATAAAACAAATAAAATAGCGACATTTTTCTAGTCTAGTTCCTTGAAGTTGCTTATGAATTAGTAATTCTTTAATCAATCACCTTTCAAATACAGTGAACAAATCTAAACAATAGTGTTGGATGATGAATCCCCATTAATGGTTTTGTTTTGATGGAACCAGTTTAACGTTTTTTTAATATAAAATTGTTGCTAAAAAACTTATGAATTTGACAAATGCTAAACAATACTAACGTTTTTGTAATTGGAAAAATTTTGGTAAATTGATTATTATTAATTTTTTTTTGTCCTTCCAGACTATGAATTGAAAAGTTAAAAAAAAAAATTACTGAAAAAAAAATGTTAGTTTTTTAGCAGTTATCAAGCATAAATGTATTTCGTTATTTTTTCTCACAATTATCACCTAAAAAAGTCATAGCAAAACGGTTAATTTTTTTTAATTATTTTTTTTTTTTTGTTTAAATAGTCAACTCACGTTTGCTTTCTCAACGGAAAGACGGCATCATCTCACGTTTGCTTTTTAAAAATGTGTTGGGTTTTGCTTTAATATATGTGGCAACAAAACAATGATGTGGCCTAATCTTACACCATACAGGACTGTCCAGTTAAAAAGTAAACGGGTGATAAGTCAACGGGAGATAAGCCACTTAAAACCGGGTCCACTCTAATAATAAGATAAGCTCTAAATATATCCCCCCAAAAAATAAATATATTCCTCCCCCCCCCCAAAAAAAAATAAGAATAAAAAAATATAATTCCAAGGTTTTGCTTAGCGAGAGGAGAAATTAATTAAAGGGCTTATTACTTAAGAGGTCACAAGTTCGAATTTTAAGAAAGTCAAATATTCTAAACTTTAGAATCACTGGAGGTTTTTCCGATCGTTTATTTTAGGACACTTGAATTAGTTAATATACACATAAACTAACCTAGACACTTGGTTATAAAAAAAAAAAAAAATTATAAAATTTATTAATTTGTATATTTTCCGTTATCACTGTGAATCATGAAATTATTTAATACTTTTGAAACACCACGTGACTATATGTCTACTCAATAATATTGATAAAAAATGAAAAATTACACTTTTCACTCTTATAATATGATCCAAATATTACTTTAGTCCTTATTCTTTCAATTTGAATAATTTGACTCATATACTTCAAGTCTAGTTTCAACCTAAGTCTTTAATGGCTAAGTTTGGCTAAACTAAAAAAATGCACTTATTTCATCTTTTTATCTTTTTTGGGTCACATCAATCAACATCTCCTCTCTACTTTTTCTACACATAATACAAGAAAAGTCAAAAAGTACACTTATTTAGTCTTCCCAAACTTGGCCAAGTTTCCGTTAATTTTTTCTACATATACACTTCGAGAGACTAACAAGTGTCACAATAAAATCATGAATTTTGACTTCTAACTTAAACGGAAGCATAAAATTAAACTTAAACTTAAACTTAAAAGTGTAAGAATCAAATTATTCAATTTAAAATTATGAGAATCAATAGTAAAATTTAAATCAAATAACAAGAGGTAAAAGTATATAAAATATGTCCATTCAACAATACCGACTACAAAGTTGGTGGGTTGTGGTTTTTGCATGCGTGAGTGCCTGAGAAAGAAGAGAAGATGACCATGCAATTGTTTTCTTTTATATGATTTGATTACTTCAGGTAATTATAAGTTTAACAATTTATGAGTATTGTTATACACTCGTTAACATACTTCAAATAGTTATATTATTTTTCTCATAAATAAAAGTAGATAGTAAAAAAATGCACAATAATTTAACGCCTTCTTAATCAATACCTTTCAAGACACTCATTAACCAAAACATAATCCACTTGGTTTCCTTTTCAAATTTTGTTTTATTGTATTTGTCAAAAAATAAAAACTAATTTGGTGAATAAAATAAAAATAATTAAAAACTCATCATTTTCATATTATTTTCTCTTTTTTGAGGCAAAATAGTTTTTTTTTAAATTTTAAAATATCTTTTTGTATTTATTTTTGTCAAATTAATTTCAATATTATGAAGAGAATAAAAAAATAAAAAATAAAATTTGAAAACGAAACCAATGAAAGTGATTAAATTGTGGTGCATAATTTTTTTTTTTTTTTTTTTTTTTTTTTGCAATGGCATTCTTGTCCTTTGAAACTAAAAAGAGGGGGACAAAATTATTTCTTATTATTTCCACCTACTTTTTCAAACTTTTCATGACACACCCCTCCACTATTGTCTATTAGCCATTTCAAGGAATTCATTCTCTATCCAGTTGATATGAGAAGAAAGTAACTTGCTTCCTGTTTCAAAAAAGTTTGACACTAAAATGACTACACATTTGATAACTATTTCATCGCCCAAAAATTAAGACAACAATTTTAAAATTTTTGAAATAAAAAAAAACACACACACATACACATATATATATATATATATATATTTGCTAAGATTATAAAATATTAGTTTGTTAATAAAATTATGTTACAACAAGAGTCACCATTGACTTTTTCTCTCACCGCACTCTTAAGATGTGGCTACAAGACCACTTGGCTAAACATCCAAAGTCATACAAGATATAAAATTCATATAAAATATTACAATAAAATCGAATAAATTACAATCATAGTAATATAAATCAAATATAACATATAAGTGAGAGATGAAATCCCAATAAATATACAGGGAATAAAACCCAATAGGAAGGTTCCAACCATTTGAATAAGTTTTTTTTTTTTCATTTTCCTTTTTGGAATAAGTCTATACATAAGGCTTGGGTTGGGTGTAATAAACCCCAAATATTTGGCATAATAGAAACTAAGTGTCTGTTTGGTAAGATTTTGTTTTTAGTTTTCATTGCAAAAGAAAAAAAATGACAAAAATTTTCAAAATTTTGAAAGAGAGAAAAAATGATTTTCAAAATATTTTCCTTTTTCTCTTCATCCTACTTTGGGAAAAATTATTTCATGTCTCATGTGACATTTGCCAATACCTTTGGAACAATAAATAATTGCTGCTCCTCCGACAATCCTGCCATTCTTTCCTCCTCCGAAAAACCTATCCCCTCTAGAAACCATTTGATGGAGGGAATGGGTATGAAATGAACTTAAGCAACAAAACCTACCACAAACAATTCAATATAAAGAAAACATTTTATGAAATTTATTAATAATTCACTAAAAGTCAATTATTTGCCCATATTGTTGAGATAAGATTCTTGAATATTCAAATATTCAAGATTGTAGTTGATGTTGGCTCTATCACTAAGTCGTATCTATTCTTATCAAATTAAATGTATAAGTATGGCATATGTGTATTACGTCTGTACAACAAATATTTTGTTAAATAATATTTGTTTATTCTCAATTGTTGGTTCCAACCAATTCAATGGTGTGACAACCTTGGGACTACATATTTATCTACTAATCTAATTTTTCATGCTTGTACTAAGCATATTGAGATCGATTTTTACTTTATCTGCAAAAAAATAGCTCGCAAGGCCTTTCAAATTCAGTTTATATCGACTAAACAATTTTATGCTTAATCTCACCACAAATTGATATATCAAAATATGCTAAATTTATGATTAATGTTACAAAAATTTGTGACCTGATTATTGACATTTTTTATTGCACCAATTTGTAACGAAATTATATATTTTGTAATTGATATTATAAAATTTTGTAATAAAATTACACATGTTGTATAGTAGGGTGGGTGCATATGGTATAGTGTTTCCCTACTTTTCGACAAAAGCAATTTGTTTTCACCCACTTTTGTAGCCAAACACAATGTATACAGAAGAACAGACGCAAGTGCACACCATACATGAAACCAACCACCACAAATTACACAACAGAAAACATGGTCACATAGCTTCATTCATATCAAAACTGTTTCAAAAGATTTAACACAAATTTTCATTATCGCTCACAAAAAAAAATTCATTATCGGTTGCAAAAAATCCCAGACCATGATCTCGAACAGCTTTTTTTTTTCTTCCCCCCGGTATTTCACTCAGACAATTAAAAAAAATTTAAAGACAATTGATGATGGTGATACAATTCTGTGGTGGCTATAAAAGACAACATAACATTTATCTTGGGGTGGAATTTCCTTGTAGCACTCACTCAGAAAATGTTGGTAAATTGGCCAGCTCCTCTATGGGTTCTCATTTTAAGCAAACTACACATTTCTGTAAGCAAAAGTTCTCTCTACATGTATTCCAGTTTTCTACACTTCCTCTCGAATGATGGTGATGGGTTTTCTCCAGAAAAACAGCCAACCTGTGCATGTTAAAATTGTGAAAATAAATAAATAAAATCATGACAATAACACAAGTTTTAAAAAGAATATTGGTTTTTTACAGTTAATCTAATGATTGAAAATAGACGTGGGCCAATCAGTCAGTCCTTAATTGAAGCGATTCTCAATAAACCAGTGCTTCATGGTTGCGATCAAAATATTGTCAACACTGCTCTATGTTGGGTAGTAAATCCAGTTTATGAGGGACACTGTGCGTTGTGCAAATATGAGGTAATAAAAAATAGAGTAACATATACCAACAAAAAAATCATTCAGCAAGGAATAATGTAACATATTCATCAAAATGGATTATTATTTCAAAAATAATCCAGTACGAAATAGTGGACTTTGCTGTATGAAATTTCTGTTCGTAAATTATTTTCCTAGAAAATATCATGATGTCAAAGTTGAGAGTCCAAAATTGAAATGAATATCTTAATCATTCATGCATATTCATTATAACTGGCAATGCATCCAATGTTTTCATAGTAGAAAATATAGGTACACCTCTCCTAAGCATCAAACTAGAAGGGGGGAAAATACAAAATCGATGTGGCTTTAAAACTTGTCATCAGCTATTTTGATATTAATACAGAAAGACAATTGAAGGTTTGATAGACAAGTGGAGTTAACATACCACACTTAGTTGAGTTTCTTCTTTTCATTTCTCGGACTTCAAGATGCTGTTCTCCCATAGCAGATGGATGCAATATATAAATTCTTTGACCATTTTTCCTGTTAAAGCAAAAGCAAGTGTTACTACATGCAATGACAGTCAAACAAGTCATCAACATAATTAAACTATACTATAAATAGCCCTACAAAACACGTTTGATACTGCCTAAATTAAATGTGTACACATAGGGGGGTCTAATTGCGAAAATGATTGAATGATCGTTTCTATTACATTATAGTCAATTCCCAACTGAAAATTCATAGTCAGAGAACTTCATAAAGAATAAAATTGCTTAATTAAAAGTTAGAATGTGCGAGCATAGTTTAAATAAAAGAAGAGTTCACCTTTGTTTCATAATAGATAATAAACAGTAGTTTCCTTTAAAATGATAAAATTCTCCAGTTAGTAGCAGAAGCATGTTTGAAATGTTTAACCATGTACAGGTACAAGAAAGTAAATTGACTGCAAACTCGTCCCTGGATGCTTTGTGGCCATTGCCTCTTTTTGCCACAATACTTTCATATCATAAATTTCTCAGTTATTATCATGATAATGTCTAGCAAAAAGTAAAACACTATGGTTGATATAAAAAGAAAATTGAGTTTTAGTGTTTTAAAAAGTGCAACATGTTTCAGTTTTTTTTTTTTTTTTAATCACAGAACATGGATTGGTAGGTGAATTGCGTTGTATCTTTTTCTTTTTTTGTGTGTGAATTTCTTTGGGGAAAAGTACAATAAATTATATGAAAGGGTTTTCTCAGGGTTTTATTCAGCATTTTTCATTCATCATATTTTTTGGAACTAGGGAGATGGGGGGTTGGTAGTAAGGGAGGAAAAAAGAACCATGTAGTTCTGCAGTTCTAACTCCGAGGGAAACAAAATCATATTAATTCAAAGGTACCTTAACATGGGTGCTGGGAAAGACTGATGTGCGCAAAGTTTCTTGTGTCACATCTTGTAATCTCCTCTTGAATGTACTCAGTACAAATGCAGCTTGATCTGCTGTTGCAGCAGTTGATGTAATTCGATATCCATTTTCCCACCTTCTATGAATTCCTTCACTTGGATAAAGGAAATCAAGTTCGACAACCTGCAAAGAGAGTAAAAAAGATATAATAGATTCTTCAAAACTACAGTCTGTTTGGTATGAGAGGTGAGACATGAAAATAAATTATTGTGGTTTCTTGTCTGGGCAAGAAAAAAAAAGTAATGATCGTGTTTTCTCACTCTTGATGAGTAAGAAATCAAAGCATGTGAGAAAGGATATGAGTGAAATTTCATAATCTTCATTTGTTTTTTAATGGGCAATCTCTGTATTATGAAAATTTTATACCCAACGAGCTTGTTTCTCACTAAATCTCATCAATTTTGGTCATAAATGAAACAGGCAGAATAAGAGTTCTTTTTCTCATCATTTCTCACCTAATTTATAAACCAAACATGAGAAAGAGAATCACTTCTTATCATTTCTCACCAAATCACCCCATCCAAACAGACTGATTGGATTTCAGACTTACAGTGCAACAGAACAGGAAATGGAGTACCTGATTAGAATAACCAGCATTTCGGGACATTACAATGCCCCATCTGCTACCGGCAGTGGACATAGAGGTAACAGAGAAGCCTTCTTTCCACTTCTTATTGATCCATTTGAAAGGAAATACATCACTAACTTTGTATGACTGCTGAGTATAAGTTGTCCCTTCAACAGCAAGAAAAAGAAGGCAACATCAGTGGTACAATCATCGAAGTACCCCAGCAAGAATCGAAATTTGACGGGAAGCTAATAAAAGATTTGAGGACCTCAAACAGAGTTTCAAAATTAGGGTCAGCATTTTTGCCAGTTGATGGTGAAACATTAAGCAGAGATCAATGGTTTGATTAAATATGGGGGTGAGTATCTCAAGGAAAAAAGAATAGGTACACAAACAAATGGTTTCGTTGTCCATAAAACTAACAATGCATTCTGAATCACAAGATAATAATAATAATAATAATAATAATAGTAAGTGTTTAAATCAGTTTATTACTTAGGAGTAATGCCGTAGTAGTGGCTTAATGACTCCTGGATAACGTAAATCCGGAGTATAAAGAATCAATCATTTGTTAAACAACTTTAACTGACCATTTTGGCACATGGAACAGGAAAGAAAACACAGTATATACCACACATGCTTACAATACGGGTCGTGCATAAATCATTTCATCAAAATGTGTTGAGGCATCTCTAGATACGAGACTAATTTTCTTTTAGGAAGTAGCTTATCATGAAATATAATATTATCAAAATGTGCAAGTTCGTCATTTATACTTTGAAATTTCTCATATTGGATTTCATTGCCATAAAAAAATTGAAGTACATCAAAAAGTGAATACCAAACAGAAATTTTTCACTCACCCTTGGACATAACCACCAAGGCACTGCCATTGGATGCGCCAGCAAGTGAAGTGATGTAATAGTTCTTGTCCCACTGCTCCAAAATCCACTCCTGATGAAGAATTTAGAAAGAGTAGACTTCAAGAGGCAATGGATAATTTGATAATGAACCTTTAGAACTAATGGTAAGGAATAAAATGCATACCTTGTGCAAGAAAACGGGTGAGAGTTCATAGACTTGGGATGTAAAACCTGTCCCTGCATCCATAATAACTGCCCACAGATTTCCTGAAGAAGCTACACAGCTAATGTACAAACCATCTTCCTTTCCTTTCTCTGCATGCTGGTGGAGTCTAGAATCCATTACATTGTAGTGATATCTGCAGTCAAGAGTTCTCATTACTTTTCAACTAAGAGAGCAAGAGTCCCACACACAAAGGTAGTGTTTGGTTCACTGGAATGAATGTGGAATGAATCGATCATTCCATTAGAATGCCCATTCTCAAGTTTGGTTCCCTAAAAAAAAATGATGGAAAATAGATTGCAAATGAAATTATTATTCACCAGGGAATGGTCATTCCATTCCATTTCACTTTCATTCTAGTGAACCAAAAGCAGCATACATGTAAAACAAATATCTATGGACAACAGCTAAAAACACTGCTTTTGCCCCGTCAAAGATTGCTCATAAGATTCCATCGCACAAGGCTATTTTCCCGTGGCAAAGTGATGGTAGCCTAAAGGAGAGAATTACGCGAGAAGAAAACACAAAGTATTACAACACATGTTTATTGACTCCATATTTGAGAACTCTTTCAGAAATAAATGACAGTAAATAAATGACAGTTCCAATCAAAGGTAGTTTAGCCTCAAATAAACCAGACATGCTAAGATAAAATTTCCAAGCCTAAGAGAATCCATACATGACAATGGAGAGGAACATGGTTACCCATAATGGCCCATGGTTTGACTATTAAAAGCTACGTCAAATTTGTAACAGATGAAGAAAAAAAAATTAAGAGAGAAAATTTTCTATAGCAAAAAATTAAAGAAAAGAAATATGTTTTGCCCAGCTTTACCTCTGTTTCATCGGTGACCTAGAACTATAGATTGAGATCCACTGAGTAGCTGGAGCACCTAATCGAACTTTTTTGCGAGGCTGCGCACCATCTTCCAAATCCACAAGCAATCTCCCCCTTTTCTGACCCACCTATAATACATGACATGTTTAACAACAAATATTTAGAAACAACAATAAATGAACTTTAGACGATTGCTTAATTGACGTAAATCTACAACCAACAACCTTCAAGGCTCCATCTATTCTGATGGGTCGTAGTGACGCATTGGAATTTATGCTGTCATGAAAAAGTGAAATAAGCTTCGAGTAATTGGGTTCTTCATCAAATTTCATATTGGTCACCATCTCAAGAAATTGTTGAAAAGGGGGAGGACATAAGGAACAAAGCATTTCAGGAGGAGTACCCATCTTCTTTTTACAAACAAGGAATCCTTTGTTCTCACCCTGCAGAGCAAGAATATACCATAGATTGTAGTCAAAGCAAAAAACAAAAAGTCTGAGAGATAAAGTTGCATATGGCAGTGCACGGTAAAACCAGAAATGAACTTACAACGAAACCTTGCCATGGAAGCTTCCCTCTAAGGAGGAATGTTAAAGTATAAGCTAGGGATTCAAGGTCATCTCTTCTGCTTCCTGTCCTACCCAAATGAGCATGTACGCTCGCATAACGTACTGTCCCCCTGTCAACACATAGATCAGGGAAATAAGTACATGTCATTCTCTGATATGTCATTTATGATGGTATCAAATCACTTTCCTTGCTAAAAGACCGAGTAAAGCTTAACAAGAAACTTATGAGGCAAGTTATGCAGGCCAATTCTATAAACTAACTCCCCAAAAAAGGAACCCAAAAATTAAGATAAATAGAAATGAGGAATATTTCTTCCATTTTGGAGAATTACTTAAATGAAGTATTGTTTCTATGAGGAACTTCCACCTCCACTCACGAATGGGGAGGCACTTATTTGGAACCATCTCAAAAACACAAGCTTCCACAGAAAAAGGGGGGGAGGGGAAGAGAGAGTTACCTGAAAACATCAGGCTTTTGGTCATAATCAACATGACGACCGGAAGATGAATCCTTCCATCTTGAAGCTGAGGAGGACACCAGTTAGAACTTAAACTACAAATTTAAAACCACAAAACTACAAAAGCATGTTTCAATTTCATGAAACGAGTGTATCTGAAACTTATTTCTGGAAAAAAAAGCATACCCAAACCAAGATCAATCAAGTACAACTTGTTTGCATCAGGAGTTCCGGGCTGACCAAGCAAAAAGTTTTCTGGCTTTACATCTCCATGCACAAAACTGAGAAAAAATCTGTGAATATGTTTGGAATACATGTGTATGTAATATTCATAAAAGAAAGAGAAATAAGTACCCCTTAAAGTGAAGCTGCTGTAGGATTGATATTGCCTCTACCGCTATACAAGAAACCATCTCTTCAGACAACCTGTACAAAGAGAAAAAAAACAATAAGAAACAACAAAAATTAACACACAAACACAAAATTATGAGTAAGGACATTATTTTTATACATTTCCTTATTAGAGTTCCAAACATCCCATAAACTTGGTCCGAGCTTATCCATAACCTGGCTTTTACAAAACCCAATATAACAAATGTTATCAGGAATGATTTCCATAACAGTGGTAATAAGTAAAAAAAATATATATAAAAATCCAACCACAGACTTGGGAAAGAAAGATGTAAGAAAACTCACAAGGATATAATAGTCTCCTTGGCGACCTTTGTAATGGACCAAAGGAATTCCATAACAACCATTAAGAGTGCTTCATGAAGAGATGAAAATCAAACCATAAGATTTTTAAACCAGTCATTCTCAAATAATAAGGCATGAAAAATGAAGTTTGATTGACAATGCAGATGAATCTTGCATACCTGTAAACTTGCCACTCAGAAGGAGGACCATAACTGCATCCTTTACTCTTTCGATGCTCAAGTTTCAAAGCAACCTATTGCCAACCCCCCACCCATAAGAGAGAAAAGAACAAAGAAAAAGGGAGACCATCATTACCGACAGAATAAATTCCAAAGAAATTGTCAAGATATCCAACGGACCCATGAGAAGAAAAAACATACCTCAACAGCATCCGAGCCAGTGCACCCTGAGCCACCTGTCACCCTTCTTCCGACATAAACTTGCCCAAAACCCCCTTTTCCCAGCTTTCTCTCTAACTTGTAAATAGGGGAATTGCCAAGCTGTACCTGAAGTGAAACAATCAACACAAATAACCATCTAAAATTTGATAATCATGGGAGAAAAGGTTTATCAATTTCTAAAAATATATCCTCAATATTCCACTAGTAAACTTTTTGCTTTTTCTTCTTTACACTTATGTACCTTCTTGCACAAGACCTTCTCTTAGAACTACACCTTATACCCATTCTAGAGAATAAAAAAAATCTTTCTAATTATAGTTATAGATCTAGTCCATATTGCTCACAAGTTCTATCATGAACATGAAAACATGTCATACATGAAAAAATATAGTTTTCATCGATCATTGAATCTTACTTTTTCTATTTAGTAGTATTATATGGCCGCTTGTATACCATTTACCCATAGAAGTATATGTAATAACATCTCTATCTAAAATCTATGTACTTAATAAAAATCAAATTCTTTCTAAACAGTTATGTACAATTACTATCACGAAATTATTAATTATCTCACATGGAACCCAGTTGGTTTCTCAGAAGATATTTACCCATCTTCACATGGACAGGCTTCAAATATTGAATGAGAACATTGAACCCAATAGTTGCATAAAAATGAGTAGTGGCTGGAATTTCATTATAGTCGCTTAGGCTGCTCAACACAAAGATATAGACAATTGGACTCATAGGATTCAACTCAAAAACATTTCTAGAGTAATACATGAACAAAGACCTCTTCAACTATATATAAATCAAGCCACAGAGTGGAAATAAGATAGTGGAGACTAAGATTTGACCCTCTGACTTTCAAATGTACTCTAAAAGTGTATATAAAGATAAAAGGAGAGAGAAAGAGAGAAAGAGAAAGAAGTTTCCAATTTGTTCAGTTAAGACACTTGGGACACTGTTAGACTTCAATGCAAATCTCATAAACATTACCAACAAATTAACATAAGTTCGTGGCAACTTGAATAGGGTTATCATATAACTTAATACCATAACAGAGACATAAATCACAACTACAAACAAAAGCAAAACCCAAAGATGTCGTGTAGAAGTAGTCTAATGTGCTCTCCGGCAATTGAATCACATCAACTTTTATCAAATACAAAATATACCCAAAAACACCCTTATGCAGTTCAAATTAATTTCTTGGAATGTGAGGGGTCACCTGGATAAAAGATTGGTTGTTCATAGATGGAACACTTTCGTGGTTCTATTTTGTTATTTGTTTTCAAGAGACAAAGATGGAATATATAGATAGGGAATTGGTAAGGAGTTTGTGGGGTGGCGTATGGGAGGACTGAGCTTTACTTGGGGCAGTGGAGACTGCAGGTGGTATTCTAATATTGTGGGACATGGGTTTAATCAAGGAGGATGTCTGTTTCTTATTTGTTTAGAAGCATAGAGGATGGCTCTCAGTGGACCTTTTCAGGTGTTTTTGAACACCAAGATGAGGAAGATAGAAGATTTATGTGGGCTGAGTTGTCAACAGTGAAAGCAAGTTGGAATTGCTCGGGATGACAATAGGGTGATTTCAATATCATTATTCCTGCTGAGAGGTTAGTATATGAACCGATAAAGAGGGCTATGCTGAAATTCTCTAACATCATTGTAGTAGAAAGATGTAGGTAGTGCACTAAAAATAAGATATATATAAATAAGCCAAATCAAAGGAAAAAATATCAGCAAGTATAAATTAAATAGAGTAAGATGAGGTAAAAAAGAAAAGCTAATGCTAGATATTAAAATAAAACAATTTGAATCATACCCTTTTAGGAAGTGGATTTGTGTTTCCTTCCTCTTCAACAACAACCATTTTTTTTTTTTGCATTTCTCTCTACTGCCAACTTATCAGGAATAGCAGCCACTTCTCTCACTGTTGCAAGAGAATTGCAAGAGAATTTGTCTCTAAATTTCAATATATCGCAGAGATAAACATAATCGGTAATACTAAAAAATAAGTGTAACAAAATAACCAAGCGATTTTTTACTCCCAGTATAAGATAACCCTCCCAGCATCCAAACAAAGCAAAATAATCACCCTTTTGTAGCATAGAACTACAGTAGCAGAAAATGTATGGTAACCATACGACAAGTAGTACCTTGCTTCAAACAAGCAACATCAGTAGCCGGTGGTGCTACATGCACCAAACATAGGCTTTGTAACGCCCTCAAAATAACACATTAAACCCATCAATAGAGACATGCATTGGTAATAAAGATAAACATTCTTCTATTCATCAGAGTAGTTCTTTACAAAATTATTACATGTTAATCAACAAAAGCAAATGCCCTACGGGCTTACAGCTTTCCAAGTTAACACTTGGTTACAAAAA